AAAACTTCTGCCATTCATCACACAACATGGCACATTTGAAAAATTGCATCATACTATGCATGATTCAAATATGATTTGTGAATGCAAATTTCACACTTACATATTTGGACACAATTCCCTTATCACATTGTTGCCCATCAGAAAATGACTTATGAGGAATTGGTGATAATTAAGGACAATTTTGATTATTAGAAGGGGTACTCCAATGATTAAACACATGGGGCATGGGAAGGGTTAAGAAAAATGGGGTTTGCACAATGGTTCCACACAACCACTTATACAAATGTTATTGGCAATCATTTTTGGCTGGAACACTAAAATTTGAGAAACCTCATGATGCCTAAACTGAATATAAAATTTTAGATTTTGTACATTAGATAATCTTGAAAAATGGGAAGCAAAAATTTTGTAATTTCACTTTCAGACCATTGTAATTTTTTGGGTTTGAGAAATGTTCACTTTTCTTTTAGTGATGAATGCCCAATGCTCTGAAATTTCAATATTTTTTCAATTTACATAATACTTTTAAGGTATCTAATGTAAACTAAAATGTTTTTGAGAAAAGGACTAAAAGGGGGATTAAAAGTCTTTGTACAAACATACAAAGTCGTATTGAATAAGTTCTAAAAGACCTTTTAAGAAGCACTAACTTGCAGTAAAGCCCATTGTGCATAAGCTGATGAATTAAAAAAGTTTTAATTTTGTGTGTTGGATAATCTTGAATAAATTTCAAACTTAAAAAAATGGGAAACCAAAAGCTTGTATTTTCTATTCCAGCACATCTTATTTTTTTTGTTTGAGAAATTTAAATAATTTCTTTCGAAGATGAATGCCTGCAGTTATTGTTTGAAAAATATTGATATTTTTTGAATAACATCATAAAAATTTCATTCATCACTTTTGCTTGCATAAAAACATTTTTCCTGCTTCCCCCAATTTTGAAGAATGCTTTTTGTATGTTTCAGCACATTTTTGTTGATTTTCAAGATTTTTAAATTTTAACATCATAAAAATTTCATTCATCACTTTTGCTTGCATAAAAACTTTTTTCCTGCTTCCCCCAATTTTGAAGAATGCTTTTTGTATGTTTCAGCACATTTTTGTTGATTTTCAAGATTTTTAAATTCGAATAAGAAAATTTAGGAACCTTTATGGTGCATGCACTGGATTCAAAAATGTTTGGTTTGAGATCATTTTTCATAAATTTGAAACTTGAGAAAAGGGTAAAAGGTTTTTCAGTAGTCTATCATTTTTCACTTCAGCTCATTGCAACTTACTTAATGCTTGCTCAATTTATAAAATTTTACAAAGCTGTATATGCATTGATATCTTACAAATTTACATTCTTTTTGAAACTGGAATAGGTTGAGAACTTCAATGATTAAAGTTCAAAAAGTTAAAAATTTACAATTTTGTACATTTTTTAAAAGATAATGGGCATTTTTCTTGTATCTCTGTCAATTTTGAGTCTTTTTAAATATTTCAAAAAGGAAATGTTGTTAAGTAAATCATGCTTGCTACAATAATGGAAAAAATTTGCATTTCCATAGAGAAGTCAAATTTTTACAGATCTCCATTTTCAGTTAAGCTCAGTACTCTTAATTTCAATCATTTTCCAGGAGTATGTGCACAGGAAGGTTTTATAAATTTGTATATTTTTGTTTTGCTTTGATGATGGAAATGTAACTTAAAATTAAGAAAGTACAGTAAAATTATTTTTTGGCAATTTTTGTATGGTTTTCAAACTGTTTTTTGCATTTTTCATTATAATTTTTGCAATGCTTGAGTTATTTCCAAATTTTGAGAAGGAAAATGTGGCAAACATCCCAGTGCTTTTTATGAAGGTTTCAAAAATAATTTTGATTCAGAATTGAATTTTTGTAACATTTTTAAAGTGGGCAAAACAGAAAACGGAATTTTTTAAAAAGTCGTTTTTTTGAGTTTAGCTCATTGTAAGTTTTTTAATATTTGCTCAATTTCAAAAATATTGCACGAATATGTGCAAAGGGATGTTTTGAGAATTTAGATATTTTTGTCTTGTTAAAATAATGGAAAATCTTACAGTTAAAATTAAGAAAGTAAAATTGATTTTTTGCAATTTTTGTACGGTTTTGAAAAATTGTTTTGTGTTTTGCATTAAAACTTTGTCAATATTCAAGTTATTTCCAAATTTAAAAATGGAAAATGTGGCAAACATAAGAGCGCTTCTTATAAAGTTTTTAAAAGTAACTTTAATCAAGAATTGAATTTTTGCCACATTTTTAAGTTGGGCAAAATAGAAAACGGAATTTTTGAAAAAGTCCGTTTTTTTGAGTTTAGCTCATTGTAAGTTTTTTAATACTTGCTCAATTTCAAAAATATTGCACAAACATGTGTCAATGGATCTTTTGAGAATTTAGATATTTTTGTCTTGTTAAAATAATGGAAAATCTTGCAGTTAAAATTATGAAAGTG